AAAAAACTTTTATGCAAATCCTCTCAAGATGAGTGTCTCTGAAGGCCTGTTTCACCTTTACAGCTAAAAACAGCTTTAAATAAATACATTTCACACTACCAGAGTGGAGAATGATAATATTACTTGAAGGACGATGAGAGAGCATGAAAATTAAGAGAGAAAGACAGAGAGAGATATGAAGGAGGGTTGAGCATTGAGGTAAAGAGAAGCAAACTCATCAGCATTTAAAGCAGAAAGCCTTACTCACATACATTGACTATTTACAGAAGCGACAGATAAAGTCTTATTAAATTTTTCTCCTTTAAAAAAATATCCTATAGCAATCTCAAACGTCTTCCCCAGAATCTCAATAACATCTCAATAAATAAAAAAAAAGTGAGAAATCAGATCTGTGATTATTATTTTACACTTAAATAATGCAAACTCCAGCACTTAGGCTCTTAAATTTTGTGAGTCACCCATGGATGGCATTTATATCTTAGCTCTTTTGTTTTGTTAAATAAATAATGACACAGCGTGACTTTGAATTAAATTGTGTATGAATGTGCTTTATAAATAAACTTGCCTTGCCGTGATATGCCATGTCACATTTTTCATCTGGTGTTTTATCTTCTAAAATTTAAGACTTGCCAAGGACCATATACAAAAGTTGCTGTTGTTGTTGTTGTTGTATTTTTACCTGATGTGAAAAAAAAAACATGTGATTCAATAGGGTGTCCTAACTTAATTACTGTACATCCACTGAACTGTCATTGTGTGCTGTGACTCCCATGAAAACAGCAGATTCAGTGAAACTCACAAAAAGTGAGAATTTAGCTCACAAATTTTCACCATATGTTTGCCACCAGAGATAAAGCATGAAGACAAAGACTCTCCCACTGCCAGCTCTCCTGTCATTCTCTGATTACTGTACTCCACAGAGACAAACACCAGCACCAGCACACCAGAATGAGCCTCTGTCAACTAAAGCCTTAAAAGCAGAGATGTCAAAGCATGTTAGAGATCCTCTGAAGAAGTAACAACAAGTACTTAATGCCACACGACAGCAACACAGACATGATAAGCCATTCAGTGAAATAGTGAACATTAGATTGAGAACTTCCAGGAAATCATAAACTTAAATCCCACCAGCCGCTATACAGATCACCACAAAACATTTATCCACAGACCTTCCATTAAACCAGTGTTTGTGTTAGCGAGAGAGAGAGACCATGAGGGGAAAATAAAGATGCTTTAGTCTAAGTGTTTGTTATTTGTTTTGTATGTGGATCTTTTGGCTCGATCATGATCGATGGAGGAAAAACTTAATTGTGACCAACACTGCATTGGCAAAATAAAGCTGCCATATCAAATTGGTCTGCTCTACTGCACTTAACATTGCTTTTACTCTGGATATGTTCAAGCTGTAGGTGCACTGATTCCAACTTGCTGAACAGAAATAATTTTATGGGACCTTCAATTGGTTAGGAAAGGCCATCTATTTTAGAAGAGCCGGCCAACCATGTTGTATCCCTTTAAGATGTGTAATCTTAAAGAGTTGCTGTTTGTTTGCTTGTAGTTTAAATTGAAATGGCTAAAACTTTGTATTGGCTCCAAATTATTTAAATGTATGTTAGTGGACAGCCAAAAGTGTGAATTCCAAAAGTAGATCATTCATTCATTTAAGTGCATTACATGAGGTTCTGAGACAAGAGTAGAACGCTCATACCACGGATTCCTTTCAAAAAGATCAGTTGAAAATTGAAATGAATTTACCAAGTGCGAATGACAGGAAAACAGACAATGCAATTGTTAATTACAGACTAATTACAATGCAAAGAAATTCAGTATAGCCAAATAATTCTGTTAGTTCAAAATAATCATACATTTTTAAAACTGTCTCACTAAAAAAAATAATTACTATTCCTTCTGTTTATTGTAAATTATTTTGGTTTGAGGAAACTTTTGGTATCACTTTATTTTGATGGTCCCTTTGAAGCATTTTGTTGAAATTCAGTTACATTGCATCTACATGCAAACTAATTCTCATTAGATTATGGGTGTTTTTACATTTGACTTATTTAGTTTGGTTGAATCGCACTAGAGTTAGTTTTTCCTCTTGATGCGGTTCGTTTGGGCAAGTGTGAATGTAGCAATCACATTTGAGTGCACACCAAAAGCGGACCAAAAAGTGTTCCGAGCCCTCCTTGGAGAGGTGGTCTTAGTACGCTTTCAAACGAACCCTAGAGCAGTTTGTTTGTGGTGAGAACATGATCCGTACTAAAACAGACCAAATCGCCTGCGCCTTTTTGGACAAATGCAGCTGCCATAGTCCGATGCGCTGTTCCATCTTATGAGGTGTGGAGGAAAAATATTTGTGGACGGTGCTTTACCAACAGTTTTAAACGCAGAGAGAGAGGTTAAAACATCACCTGATGGATCGTTGGCAATATTTACAAAAGATGACCATGTCTCAGTTTAGCTAAATTTATTCATGCCTCCTGAAGTGACTTGCGATGTGCCTTCGATGTTTGCAATGCATCAAAACATTGTTTTCAAGCCAAAGCCGCAATTTATTCTCGAAATGTATAGTTTGTCTAAAGTGATGTTCATTGATTAATTTTCTTTCTTTTGTCTGCTGGTTTGTTTACTTGCAGGAGTTCCATTAGCATTTTCCCACACGTTTATTTTGACCAATTAAAAAGCAGTTTAGGAAATACATTAAAATAACATCTGGCCAATGAGTGATGAGGATTTTGTCACATGACTGCTTTTTCATTCTTTTCAACTGGTTTGGACCAAAGCAAACAGTGTGGTGTGAAAAGGACCCAAAAACGACAGAAAAATGCTACAATTTACCATTTGTTGCCCTTGATCCGGACTGAATGAAAAGATGTGAAAGCACCCTATAAGTAGACTGTTAGGTTGGGGTTTGAGTTAGTGTAAGTTGACATGTACTTTAAGTTTCGTATAGTCAGTTAACTGTGTTAAAGGAGCAGTATCAGCAAATATTAAACAGACAGTCGACTAATACTCAAATGATAGGTCATTGGCATGTAGTTACAATACAACTATTAGTCAACATAATGTGCAATAGGGACGATCAAAATAAAGTCTTGACTTTTTCTTCAGAGAGTAAGTTTTATCTTATGTCAGTTAGCGCCACCAAACTCAGGTCAGTCCTTTAGCTTATTTCTGTGTTTTGACTCGGCTTTTTCAACTGACCCTACTAGCAAAGACTAGAACAGTTTAACATAGTAACAACATGCTAACAACAAGGTAAAATGCTAAATGCTACAAATATTGTAATATGTTAATAATTCATAACATGTTAGTAACATCCTAAAACATGTTGGTCATTTTTAACATAATAAAAATGTGATGTTAGAAACTTGGTAACAGTTTAGAGTCTTGGTAAAACATTATTACTTTGATAAAACATTAGGGGTGCCATAATTATTTGTTTCTTCAATGCACAGACAATTCAGTATCGGTTCAGTAATAGATCAGTGAACAGCGCTGACGGTTCTAGAGCACCCCTTTATGATGAGCGGGTAAAGACAGACCAATTATAGGGGTGCAAGAACATGCTAGACAACACTTCGAAAGTAAGCGGGATAATATTTACATTAGTTTATTTGCTTCAAATGCTCATGTTATCTTCTCTGCATGTATTTGAGTTTTGTTTTAAACATTCAAAGAGAGTGTTTTCTTTGAGCAGGTAAAATTAAAGCGCATATTACTGACTGCTTGTATTAAATGACAAAATTGTATTATAAATCTAAATATAGAAATAAATATAAGTATAGATTTTGATAAAAAAATATTTCTAGTGCTGTGAAGAAAAAAATATAATTAAGCATGGAAAGCATCATCAAAGCACCGTGATGCACAGAGATTTCGAACTGATCCGAATTGATGACATGATAATCGTAACCACACCGAACCTTGAGACCAGCGTAGGTTCACACCCCTAAAAAACATGTTGGAAAACTACTAGTCCATGCTAATACATGCCTGATTTAAATTGTAACCAGCAATATTTTACCAAAAGTGTTTAAACAATGTTAAAACTTAAAATGCTAGAAATATGGTAATCATGCACTTATTTATTTCTTTCCCAGCTTTGTAAGCTATAAGTTTAAACTTTGAGGGAAATACTCTAAATATACTAGGGCTGCGTGCTTATTTGAAATGATTTCAAGATTGCAATTCAGCAAAAGCTACTATATTCTCATGCACATCTTGTTAGGAACGCACAGCTCTGTGACCAGTAGTAAATCTGCTCCAAAGGCCAGAGGGCACTCTCATGCAGAAACTGCAAATATGCAGCAAACAAGAGCAATGGTTAGGAAATCAAACAGAGCAGAGGATTTAACTGCGTTCATTGATTCAATGTAACTAATGAACACAACTATGGAATCATTTCACAGAATGATACATTTGACTGAAGTTAAGGGGTCAGTTAGGTGTAAAAGCATGTTATTAAATGTGGTATTTTCATGTGCTCTCAGATCAGCAGCAGCAGCAGCACAGAGCCAAAGATCGTTGAGAAGCTACGCAACAGCTGTCAAATCACAGAACAATGTGACCAATTTCATAATTGCGGCAATTGAATCTTCCGCCTTTTTCAGTAACTTTTCAGTGAACAGTGGCTTTGTGTATTAAACAATGCTCCATCTAAAAGCAGCTGCTGGACTTTTACATCTGTTTTACAGTGTTTTACAACCAAAATAAGCATTAAAATATCAACATAGCCCTAAAACGTATAAGGTTACAAAGCATTTTAAACATCCACACTTTACTATTTAGCTTTCAAAAAATATACAAAACCTCAAATCAATCAATCTCAATCAATTAGTCAGTCAGTCAGTCAATACATGGATGAATGTATTGATAAATGTGATGTCCACCATCTTATCACTGACGCTTATGATGACATCTTACATGTGTGCAATTGAGAGTTCCAGAAAATCCCTCCGCACTTTAAACTAATTTGACGACTCTGATTTCAGACTTACCCTGACAGCACACCCAGAACCAGGTTGAGCATGAAGAAGGAGCCGATGATGATGAGTGGGATGAAGTAGAGCCAGTTCCAGGTGTTCCCTGAGGCATCGTTGGCCTGTAATGAGACAGAAGTAATGAGAGCAGAAACTGAGAAGCCGTGGAGGTAGAGAGAGAATTAAACATCAATATGAGAACCTAGAAGAACCTGGAGGAGATTGAATCTCCACAGGGTTCCAACAGACCATCCGTCACTGACACCCCATGTAAAATTCTCTTTAGCACATTTTATAAAAGCACAGAACTGCATGATAACTAAAATTGCCATATTCTTATTTATATATATATATATATATATATATATATATATATATATATATATATATATATATATATATATATATATATATATATATATATGCGATTAATTTGAAATATTTAACGCGTTAAAAAAATGTACGCAATTAACACAGTTGCAGTTTTTTTTTCAATTCCTGTTGTGGCTGACATGTGTTGAACATGCAAAGAAATATGGATAAGTCCAAGGAAGAACTTTTTGAAGGCAAGTTTCAATATAAAACAATTAATGTTGCATTACAAGGCTATCCAGCGTTTCCTCCAGAGTTTCATCTAATTTTGTATGTTTAATTTTTAACTTTCCACTTTTGTTTTAATGGAATTTGATACCGCATGGCGAACGAAAAGAAAAACCTCCGCATTACGAGACTCAGTGGTCCTTTAATTTAATCAAAAATCGCTGCTTACATGGTAGACTCTTAATAAGAGTATTATCTCAATCATATTAAAAGCGGATTGTTGGTGTCCATGTCAATGAAGTTAAAGACAGCGCATTCCTCTGCCTTTCAGCACGCGCTCTCTAATGTTTCAGTAAGTTTGACGTGTTTCTCCCTTAAACGCAAGTTGTGTAAAGTGTATGCTTCGCGTTGTTGTGTCAGAATCCTTGTGAAATACAGCCATACTTTAGAATGCTTAGTTTAAGCAAATTTGAAGAACTCGATCATGCGTGGTGAATCTGAAGGGAGTCGCTCCAGCTGCCCTGTTCTGCACGCTTTGTGTGTGTGACAGTGTGTGTGTCAGTGTCTGTGTGTGTGTGTGTGTGTGTGTGTGTGTGCATGTGTGTGTGAGACAAACCTATCAGCAACAAACCTGCCAAAACATCATTGTCCATAGCCACTAAATCAAAAAGTTCTGAATTGTCGTGAGATTGCATTGCACTCTTAGCTCACATCATTCAAAAGAAAAGGTCCACATTGTCCCAGGATATTTACCCCATGTATTTTGGCATTTTTTGCAGTCCACTTAGAATCCAACTTGGAAATCTTTTTTTTTTTTTATTGGCATTGATTGTTTTGAAATTCAAATGGCACTAACAAGCCTGTGTTTTTATTTCTGTAATAAATACGGCTGTCAAGCCAGGATCTTGATAGTTTATTGTGGGTATGTTGTTTACATGAAGAAATCTGTGTTTCCCCAATTTCTGTTTAACAGAGAGAAGATGTTTTTAACACATTTCTAAACATAATAGTTTTAAAAACTCATTTCTAATAACTGATTTTATTTATCTTTGCCATGATGACAGTAAATAATATTTGAGTAGATGCTTTTCCAGACACTTCTATACAGAATAAAGTGACATTTAAAAGCTTAACTAGGTTAATTAGGTTAATTAGACAGGATAGTGTAATTAGGCAAGTTATTGTTTGTGATAGTTTGTTCTAGACTACTTAAAAAGCCCCTTTAAGCTGAAAAAAGCTTAAAGGGGCAAACAACTTTGACCCTGAAATGGTTTTTAAAAATTAAAAACCGCTTTTATTCTAGCCTAAATAAAACAATTAAGACTTTCTCCAGAAGAAAAAAAATATCACCAGACATACTGTGAAAATTTCCTTGCTCTGTTAAACATCATTTGGGAAATATTTAAAAAAAAAAACAATTCAAAGGGGGCTAAAAATTCTGACTTCAACTGTAGATTGATTACATGTAAAATAATACTGTATAGTCTTTACTATATAAATTCAATTTAATTCAACTTTGTCCAAGCTACAAACATTATCATTTCATTCCTAAATGCTTAACAGACCATAAAAACACATATAAAAAAAGATAATTTGTCACTGTAATATGGGTAAAATCTGCAATAAATCTACAAAGTCCGTGTTGGGAACTCCATGGTTAAAGATAAACCCTTCTTGACTTTTGACTATTGTGGACTGTTACAATTATCTTAAATCTAAAGGTTGAATAAATAAATATGTCTAAATGTTGGTATGAAAAAACTAACTTACCTGAATAAAAGAAAAAAACGAATAAACAAAAACTTTACCTCACTCCCTATCTAACCAAGAACAAAAAACACGCTTCAAAAGAAAATGTTATCCAATTGTCTACAGCTTCCACAAGTTTAAACAACAACAACAAAAGATTGAATAGTATCATCTTCATATTGAGTCAGGCTAAAAAAAAAAATCAAATACTGTATATGTCCTAATTTCTAACACAGACATGCACATTGCAGTGTCAATGCTGAAACTACATATTGTACATCAACAACATCTATACAACCCTTCTTATTGTCCAAATAATTGCTTTTGGTGAGATTTCATGTCTTTTTTAGGTTAAAAAGAGAAATGAAATGCAATCTCCTGGCCGCTGCAGTGTAAAGACTGTGAGGGACAGAGTATCACCAGCATATACAACACAGAGCCGTTCACAAAGCATTTATGAGGCATGCAATGAAAAGATTTCTCCTAGTGGCCATTTACCAGCAAATTGCTCTCACATATTGTCTGTAATTGTTATGGGACGGTGGAGAATGCTGATTCAGCACACACATACAGATCCTCACTTACACAGCTGTTTCTACAGCAACCGGCTCCACGTGTCTACCTCTGTCCCTTTATCTTTCTTGCTTTAACTTTAAAATTGCATTTCTGGCAAGAGTAGTGAAGCAGCAGGAGCCAAAATTCCACTGCTGCATCTCTACTCCTCTGAGTATTTAATTTATTACAGCGCTGTGGGGAATTCGTCTGACTGACTTTTTCTTAATTGTAATTTATTTATTACTGTAGATGTCTATATTGGTTACTGTTTCATGCATCCAGATGAAAGATGACAGCACAAGAGTATCTCTTTAGCCAAATCGGTTTTTTTTTTTGTTTTGTTTTTTTAAATGAACAGACTCTGAACTGAGACCAGGGTGGAGTGAGTTGCCAGATACTGCCATCCTTTTGGTTTTTGAAAGGAGTACTTGCGATTCATCTTTGGAAGCTGAACGAGCAGCATCTGACATGAGGGGGAACAAAGGATATGGCACTGAAACAGTCTCATTCTGAGGAACATGAAAGAGTGGTGAATCGCCTACATTTTATCTAAAGCCTGAAAATCGTTCTGACATGCTAAATGATTATGTGTTCTGTAGCTGAAATATAACATTGTCTCAGTAGTCATGTTTTCTAAAGGCACTGGATCACACGTCTGTGGTCCATTGGGTGATATATGGATTGGCGGAATACAGACTTTACCATATTATCACAGTAATGAAAAGTGCAAATGAATCTGAGACAATTATCTGGTTCTTCCACACCTTTCATACATCACTTCTGAGGTATGAATATATCTGCTTTTAAAATGCAAAGCAATACACAAACCTTAAACCACACATACAAAAAGAATTACCAAATATTTGCCAAATGTAAGCATTTCCAAATAAGGTATGGAATATATGAATAAAAATACCACGATAAATGTGGTAATCAAGTTGCCAGCAATGCATTGGTTTGAATAAATAAAGATACTGATACTGTTTAGTTTTTTGGTTCCCACGTTAATGCTGTTGATTTGGTGGTTGTCGACACCTTATTTGTCATGTGGCACAGTACCATTACAATACTGTTGGCTGGGAAAATTATAAAACTCATTTGCAAAATTGCTAGTAGCTAATCCTACAGTATGGATCCTCCAGGACAGGGGTGCCCAAACTTTTTTGTATCAAGGGCCAAAAACCAAATATTATTGAGATCTGTGGACTGAAGGTAAATATACCAAACTATATTACATTAAAGTTGCCATGGGTGATTTCCTAATTTATTTCATGATATTTCAAAATAAACAGAAAATAGCAGTATAACTTTTTTAAATGATAACATATTTCAATAAAACACATAAGCAATAACATATATAACACAGTGTAGTTCCATGCTGAATACAAACAGAATCTGCCTTTGACTGTAATTGCTTACAAAAGTCTCTGGATTGTCGCGTGACAGTATGTACATTTAAACTAAATCTGATTAATTTACACCATTTAATTTCAGTTAGCTTTAAACAATAAAACAAACAAAAAAAGCCTTACACTGAAATGACACCATTACCATCATTCCAACCCAAGCTCTTTCTGAAAACGTATCATTCTCCCTCTCTTCTTACAGTATATGGGACAGCGGGCTAAATTAAAGGTTACCATGGGCCAACTTTGGCCCCCAGACCCTAGTTTGGGCTTCCCTGCTCTAGCACTTACATGCTCAAGACATTTATGTGGAAATAAAAGAAAAATCTACAAAAATGTCCTTAAGAACACATAATAATACAGATGTTATAATCAAACTATAATCAAATGTTGAGAGTTTGACACAACAGAGTTTAAAGTAACATATCTATTGAAAGAAAAGTTGTTAAAAAGACTTTCCCTCTTGTTTATTATTAATATTTAATAGCATTAGTGTCTATTGCTTACATTTAAATCAGCAAAAGTCTATATGAGGTGACTAATGGAATGACCAGCTAGATTTGGCTAAAGTTGCACAGATTTCACAACAAAAATCATAATTTCAATAGAAATACATGCAATTGGGAATTCTTCATGAGAGTTAAATATTCTGCAAAATGTTGAGGTTTACCATGTGAATTCACTTTGACAAAACAGAAAATGAATTCATACAATACACTGCTAAACAGTACAGAATGATTTGGAATATTTGATCCAAAAATCTCTAATGGGACTGCACCTTAAAATTATTACTTAAAAAAAATCTTAAAACTACAGTGCAGTGACTAGAACATATGTTCATATCAATGTGCTAAATCAGCTCTGACATGACC